ATAACTTTTTAAAAAATTCATTTTGATTTAAAAAATTTCAATGCTTATATAAATTTTTTTAACTACCAAAATGGATTGAATTTCAGATTGGCTTCTCTTATAGGATTAAGTTATAACCTGACTAATTGAAGAATATGTTAATGATTCTTAAGATTGACTTCAAAGTGCCGATAAAGTTAAGCATAAAATATAGATGAGTGCTGCTACTTAGATATTCTCTTCTAAATCTTTGAAATTGGCAAACAATCGTTCATTGGGAAAAAACAAACAATCTTCAAATAAAATCACTTCAATAACCCCTGTTTTTAATATACGCTGAACTAGGTTTAATTTCAAAAGCCTACAGAGTAGAATATCTTAAAGATTCTTTTGAGATTGTAACGAAACTAATTAACGTAATTAATTTCTTTCAAAGCTAATTTACATACTGAATCATTAAAATATATACCCATTGAAGTATTTGTATGCTCTGTAATAGACGTTTCTAGGGTATACTAGTATAGCTTTTGCTCCATCTGTCGATAATTTTTTTTCTGTTTATCTTTGGTGTATTCTTTGTGATAGGACCTTTATTCCGGTTATCATCAACTTTGACCTTTTTACCTTAACCTTGGAGTTTTACAGTCACACATTAACACAAATTTACCAACCTTTAACCATATAAATAACTTTTAAACAGTAACGACGCGTGTATGCACATTGCACAGGTAAATTCATTTTGGCAAGTCGTTTCATTTGATTGCAAAGATTACCTTTACAAAAAATTTTGAAACAAGTTTTAAAAATTTTAGCTTAAATCATGGACAAAACATAGGAACATAAACCACTAGGACTTTCTCATTTCACGGGTGAATTATCTACGACATGACCTTAATTTGGATATGAAAACTCTTTTACCTTGGCTCTAGATTGTGACCCATTTAAAAAAAAAAAAAAAAACCTTTATAAAACTGCCGATATCAATAGGTATGAAAAATAGATGAGTACTCCTACTTAAATATGCTAAAGTTTTGAAAGAGAAAAATATAACATCGTTCATAAAATAAGTCATGAAATGATAGATAACTCAAACAAGAACATTGTAAACACCTTAGTTTGTAATATACGCTCAATTCGATCCTATTTTTAAAGGCCTGCATGTTACAATATCTCTTTTTAAAAAGATTTTTTACGAAACTAATTTCGGTAATTGATTTCTTTCAAAGCTAATTTACCTACTGAATCAGTAAAATATATACCCATTGAAGCATTTGTATGCTCCATAAAAGTCGTTTCTAGGGTATATAGCTTCTGCTCCATCTGTCGATAAGTTTTTTTTTTCTGTTTATCAGTTTACAAAAAAAACCTTTCGCCTTGCCTTTAACTTTAAGGTGAGTTGGGCTAATGTTATTATATTCTTTTGTATATTCTTTGTGATAGGACTTTTATTTCGGTTATCATCAAATTTGACCTCTTTACCTTGACCTTGGAGTTTTACAGTCACACATAAACACAAATTTACCAACCTTTAACCATATACATAACTTTTTAACAGTAACCACGCGTGCATGTACCTTTGACAGGTGAATTCATTTTGGCAAATCGTTTCATTTGATTGCAAAGCTTACCTTTACAAAAGATTTTAAAAATTGATTTTTAATCTTGGACATAACATAGGAACATAAAGCACTAGGACTTTCTTATTTCACGGGTGAATTATCTACGACATGACCTTGAATTTGATATGAAAAATCTTTTACCTTGGCCGTAGATTGTGACCCATTTTTTTTTTAAAAACCCTTTACAATTGGTCATAATTTTTGAACTGCAATACGGGGACTTTAATGTTTTGTAGATATGCATGTACTAGTATTTCATTTGACATGATCTGTCTTGGATAAAACTTTTTTTTTGTTGTTTTTACATTGATCTTGGAGGTTGACTTGCATCTAAATATTTTCATCTCTTGCCATGAGCTGCCACACGGGGTAGGGGAGATCAGTGATTCCCAAACATATCTTGAATTTCAAAGTTATTTATAAAATTGCCGATATCAATAGGTATGAAAAATAGATGAGTACTCCTACTTCAATATACTAAAGTTTTGAAAAAGAAAAATATTAAATTGTTTTAAAAAATAAGTCATGAAAAGATACGTACCTCAAACAAGATCCTTGCAAACATCTTAGTGCGTAATATGCGCTCAATTCGATTCCGTTTTCAAAGGCCTGCATGATAAATATCTCCTTTTAAAAAGATTTTTAGGAAACTAATTTCGGTGATGGATTTCTTTCAAAGCTTTTTTGCCTACTGAGTTATAGAATACCAACTGGACTACTTTTATGCCTCCTTAATTAATAGACTTATTTTTTTGTGGGGGTTAGTTTTTGCCCTGTCCTTAAGTCTGTTTTTTCTGTCTGTTTGTTAAAAAAATTATCTTGCCCTTTTTTGCATACGTTTTGGGGCTATGGAACTATATTCACAATGCAGTGTTGCACAAACATATTTTGTTTTACGTTGAAGAGCTAATTCATAAAATTGTCTTTAAAAAAGGAGCATGAGTTTTTTTTCTCAAGGTGGTAGGCTTTAATAAATGTATTTGCATGATCTTTTGGCGGTGAGTATAAAAATTAGTTAGTAAAATGGTTTGTTGAAAAGATAATTTCCTTAAACATGAGTATAGCTGCTTTATTTATGCAATTGTTGAGATGAATTTTGACTTTTAATACTTTTTGTAATCATATTTCATTTTTGCTTATAACAATTATTTAATTTAAACTGATATCTGTAAAACACATGCTCTGCAATGATTTCATGAATAGACATACATTTTATGATATCACGTTTATTAAAGAAATTCTCGTCAACTTTGTGACAAAATCAAGTATTCAATGGATAATAACATATGCTCTTTAGGTTAAAACACAGGCTCATAATATTTTTGCGATGAAGTGACTTTTTTATTGTCTTATTCTTTTATGCATTTACAGTTATTCATCATGATGCTCAGTTAAAGCCATTCGTAAAAAGAAAATATATCAATTTTCAAAATCGCTGTTAATTTTCTAAACTCTTGTCAATAAGAAAAATTATCTTTTTGTTTATCTAGCATGTTTGTTACACAATAATGGACATAATAATTCAACAGCTTGCTGAAGACTTTATAGCTCATTGAGAAGATTTTTAATCAAATATATATCATGCTTCTTTTCTTTAGTCATATCAATTGACCTTTGAAAAAAAAGTAATCACAGTCACTCTATTTTAAAATATAAGTGATATTGTATGACTTTTTTTTCATCATCACAATTATTCTTATTGTCATTATCACTGATATTCTATAAATTATAGACAAAAGAAAGAAAATTAATAACAAAGAAGCAATGATACATATTGAAATATATTTTACATTGTTGAGGCTTATTTTTTTCAAAACAAATGTTCTTGTTTAATGACATTGTAAAACATGATTTTTTTCTTTTTTTTACAACAATGATATGCATGTACAAATAGCAAAATTAAAAAGGCTATTGAATTTGATAGAATACAGTGACTTCAATAATAAAATGCTCTCTTTGGTTGTTGGTACGAAAATGAATGTCGCATCTGTTGTAGAAAAAAAAAACATAACCCACGTAAGCGACTTATATTTTTTCGTCTGTAAGTGCTGCAACATTATTAATTTCAATTCTGTAAATATTCAAATGTAAATGCAAAAGTTCACAAAAATACACAACAATTGTAGCACTCAGACGTGTAATTTTCGCAAGAGCAATAAATTAAAAAAAAATCCTTGATTCAATCTGTTTCTGATGCAAGAATTGTTACAATAACACAAATACTGTAGATGGAATATTAGTTACCATTACAATACCCTATGTGAAAAAACCTAAAAACCATAAACAGAGTGAATAATTTTAAAGCAGTCCATGTGCAAGACAGATATTGAAATAGAGTAGATCGTAAAAGTTTTTTTAAAAATATGAATAGCTTTATTCAAAACTATGTTCCAAAGTAGAGTAGCTTCTGAACCACGAATCATGGATCGGACTAAACTTGTTGATTTAATTAAAAGAAACATTTACAAATAGACACGTAAAGAAAATATGGCCTCAGTAAAATGTAAGACTTTAATTAATAACAACTCTAACTCTCTTTCACCAATGAATCAAGTACAAAAATACAGATATTTTTCGTAAAAAAAAAAACACACACATAAAACTTGAAAATGTTTAAATCATGCTTATAAAGCAAACAGCTGAAAGATAATATTTATGGTTGTGAAAAATCTGTATAACAGGAGCAGCAACTATACCACGTACATTGTAGCACAATATTTCTTTGATCGTTGAAAAGAAGTACAATTTATAGATTCATTCTGCGTAAATAAGAATATACAGGAAAATACAAAATATTGATTATATAATATGTTTGAACACATGTAAAGTAGAAAACATATAAAATTGATGTAAAATAAACTCTTGAATCATTAAATGATTTTTAAGTTGTTGAGCAACATTTTTACAAAGGTAAATTCAATCTTTCGATCACAGAATTCAAATTTATAGTCGAAGCAAAGTAACCTCGCTGGGCGGAGTGTGTCTTTAACTTCAGGGTTCTTAATACAAACAAACATTTTATGCATGAATTGTTATATTTTTTTAACTGATTTTGAATGAGAAATGGCAATTAATGAAATCCCAAAAACCAAAAAGTACATTTACATTTAAATTGATAACATTTTGTATCCTTTCATAAGGCTAAAAATGTGTGAAAAATTTTGTATGGAATTATATAGAAAGCAAAACATGGTCTCATGTCTAAGCACCAAGAAAAACCAACAATTTCCTAATGTTTTTGGAATTTTTTTATTTATTTCATTTCAAATTAACATCAGTCAAAAAAAATAATTATTGAATCAATGCATAATTTTTTTGTTTGTGTTAAGTACCCTTAAAAATAACTTTATATGGAAATATCATTATGAAAAAAATTCACTTCCCCCACTCATCTGGTTTTAATACTTATCAGTGAGAAATATTGTCCAATCTGAAAAAAATTGTGTTAATTATCCCTTTATAAAGGTTCATTTATAGTTATAGTCCATACTTAAGAAGTAATTATTTACCTCATTCACCGTGTACTTTCATACACAGAGCAATCAAAATAATAAAGTGCATTCCAAATCATTTACATTAAAAAGATGACATGGGATTAGTAATTTTTGTTGTGTTAGATTGTATTATATTCATTCAAAAACTAAAATAAAACTATTTCAAATATATTTTCTCATTATGTCAGCTAAAGTATAAAGTAACAATAAATATTATTAGTAGAGTAGATTGGATAGATGGGACTTTCTTCGTTGAAACAGATGTTATAACTGGTGTTCTGAATGACACGATTCTACTGTACCGATTTCCGTTCATCGACCTGTAAAAGAAAAACAAAAACAAATCTTTAAAAAATATTGTTTGGTTGTTTCTCCCGAATAAAAATGGCCCGACTCACAATTTTTTTTTATTCCAGGACATCTTTTTTTATCTTGATTCCTTTCATCCCGTCAACAAATATGCTGAAATTTTCTGGAGAAATATTTTCCCACCTACCTAACGACCAAGTAATTTTACCCTCAGTCGGGAGAAGACAAGCAAACGTTCTTTTGTATATGGTCTTATTAATATTATAGTAAAACAAATTTATAACAAAGTGCAAGGAATGGACCACTTTGCTTCATTATGTAAGCGTTCTTCACTTTATCGTAAAATAAACAATCTATTTTAAAGCCAAGGAGAGTGAAAATCACTTTGCCCAATGCTGCGATACACGAATAAAAGTGTTTACTGCGAGCATTTTTAATCTGTATTATTTTTTTTCATATTGAGCTGTTTCTTTTTTGTCTCACTTTTGTGTACTAATGACGTATATTTAAACGGATTGTGCAGTGAAAACTATCTAATCCGACACCAGTGTACTCCATCACACTGTAAATTCCGACCTAAATTTTCTTTCCCAGCTTACTTAAGTTAATGTTATTTCACACTTTTCAAGCTGGAACACTGTCTATTCAGACACAAAATTGCTTTCCCAGTTCATGTCTGATTTAGACAGGTTTCTCTGTACCATTGTTTTGGAGATTGTTGGTCCTATATCTTTTTGTAACAGCATTGCGTAGTGGATTGTGTTTTGTAAACCAGGTCCTGATACATTATTTTCTTTTTCCTAGGGGGTGGGGTGGGGGGTGACAAGATTTTTCTTATTTGATTATCAAAAATGCAAAGTCTCGTTATATGTATAAACATTAAGATAATTTAATGTTCGTTTATCCTCTATTCTAAATTTCCATCGAATGTAGTGATACTTTTGTTAAGCTATTGGCCCCTTGCATTTCTCTTCCAGAGAGCAAAAGTTCTGAAGCTTCCGCAAAGTATGTTGAATTTCGCGCATTTAAATAAAAAAAATGATTGATTTTACAAAGCAGTCAGATTTTAAATTATTATTTTAGTAGAAGCCTATAGAACCTTATCGCGTATCACTACCTCACCACGCATGGCCGTAGAGACCCTGGGAATTTTTTGCCAATGTATAGTATAATGGGTAATGAAGAAATCGAAACTACTTGGAGTTGTGCCCTGTGAAATATACCTGGTGACTTTTTTTTCGTTTGTAGGTAATTATTGCTTGAAATTTTAATGCAACCCTGAAAAAGTTAGGTCACCTTTTCTACTAAAATGGCTACATTTGGCCTAAATTAAAAAAAGGAATCAATGATGGCAATTGCTTACCTTGTTCTTAAATATACGTCCTTTCCATTAGGCATGCCTGCTACCTCTTTACCAACAGGTATCTCATTCCACGTCCGTTTGTTATCAGTACTATACTGAACCGTTAGACCGGGAAGGTTTGTATTTACATTTAGCTTTCCATTAATTAAACTAAAAGTAAAAGAGAAAGATCAATTTTTATTTTCCTTAACAACTGTTAAAGAAAAGACGTTTCATGGATATTCCAATATTATATTATATATATACATTATAAATGAAAAATTCTTCGAAAAACATTTCATAAACACAGGATTCCTGCCGCATTTTAATATTTTTCAGGTAAACCTTTGAACCAACTGTTTTTTTTTTTTTGTGTTGTTTTGTTTTTTTTTTTTTTTTTTGGGGGGGGGGGGGGGGATAACACATTTATATACATCAAAACATCTTAAGTCAAACTTTGTTTCTTCTTCAAAAAATATTTAGCCTTAATTTCGATATAAATTTAAATTCCAACTTCACTGGTTTCTGAGTTATCTATGAAAGAGCCAAAATATTTAACTAACAGCCTACAGAGCAGTTGCTCTTGTAGAATTATCAATTATCATGTTTCTATGACATATGTTGGAATATTAACAAGCAATGTTCAAGCTAAAATTAAGTCCATTTAACATTATAAAAAATAAGCAGGGTAAAAACCGACCTCTTTAACATCAGAGGTGGGATAATGTGCAATGAATTGGTAAGTATCCCCTGCTTAACCATAAAGAAAAAAGTAATGAAAGATTAAGAACTTCAAAATGTACCTTCCTCCAGGAACAGATACTCGGTAATTGATTCCAATTTTTTCTAGGCGGGCCAATTCTTTATTTCTTAATGCCTTGGCAAACGAAGTCCAATCCTCATTTGTCCTTTTGATCCGCTCCTCTTTATTTTCAATATCTTCCCATGTGGATTTGTACCACGCTCTCTCAGCTAGGGCTATAAGGCGGGGAAATACCATTTCTTGTAGTTCATCAGCCGTCCGAATTGTCTCTGTCCACACATGGCCTTGAATACCTACGTAACAATCAAATTACATGTACAAGGAGAAATGCTTGGCAAACGGTGTTCTTGGTTGTTGTTAATATAAATTCGTTTATTTCTTTATGGTTGTCATATTGATTTTCATAAGATTATAAAAGGCCGGTATGAAATTGTTTAAGAACAAGACCGACTTTGAATATAAGTGAACAAAGGATGTATTCGCTTTAACAAAAGAATTGACCTATAGGAGAGAACAATTTCCCGGAAAAAGTGACATTTAAAAATCAATTTTTATTTGTTGTTTTCTACCGTATATATGTCTAATTTTTTTTAATTTGTATTTGATACCTAAAATTTATTATTTACAACTTTACAATAAACCTCCAAAGTTGATCGAAACACCATTTTGTCCTTTAAAGCGTTGATTTTTGCATGAATTTTGGCCTTGAAGTCCATCAGGACAGGCCTGCCCCTAAATAAAATTGTGATATTTTGAAAGGTTAGGATGTAAGGAGTAATTTAAGATAAGATTTTTTTAGGGGCACCCCTGCCCTGGGGTCGAAATTCACAAAAAACCTACAAAAAATAAGGAAACCAGATTTTCAAAATCTTCTCTAAATTTATGCCCTTCATTATGGTAGTCAGACTAGCTCAGTTGATATATGCGCTGACTTTTACACCTTGGATACTCTCTAAAGTCGGGGGTTCGAATCCACCTGGTACAACACTTATACAGTTTTAAATTTCGCCTTTTCAAAGACTATTTTAATTTTTATTTTTTTACAGACTTGTGTATTTTTCCTTCAATTATATATCCCTTATGCATGCCCATTCTTGATATAAGAAACACTACAGAGATATCAAATCGTAACAATCCAATGTACAGTTGTCAGTCAGGTGGAACGAACCTCATTTAAGCACAGAACAAGAATAACTCACTATGTGTTACTCAATACGGATATTCTTGGCAGTATTGAGCTGCGATGAATTTCAATTATGTATATATATATTCCTTAAAATTTAATCACATTGATTTTGGCTACATATTTCAGTAAATGCACTCACTTAGATTTCATTTAGGCCTTTATAATTTGCACACATTAAAGACAAGTTTTCATCTTATCCACGGATAAATATAGCCTAGACATTAAGAATAGAATTTCAGAGACAGTAGACATTATCTTTATGCACAATGAGAAGTAAAGACAAATATCAGTTATTACATTTGGAGATAACAAACTCAGAAAATCAATAAAAAGGGTTCCTCCTATCTCTACTCACTGAAATAAAAATTTAGGAAAAACAAATTGTTATATTATTCAAATGTCATTAATCAGAACGGAAATCGACAAGCTTTTTGTAGAGAATAAAACCAAGCCCGGTCCTATAGGTCAGATCCCTATTTATAATGAAGAGATCCTTTCGGAACAAAAAAAATAAGTATTTGATTGAATAATACTTTACATAAATTAATAGATATTCTACCAAAATTTAAAAATTTATCAAAAAATATCCATTTCAACCAGAGAAAGAGATATGATAGCTTACATATAGCAGAAAAAAAACTAACCAATGATATTTTCTGGTTTTTCAAGCTGTAGACAGGTGCCATTGTTTGTACATATTTGATCGGTAGTGAGAGGTTTTCCGTTACCAGCTTTATCGGCATTATAATATATGTTGCTGGGGACAAAGCCAAAGGTTTTCCGAGTGTCGGTAAATCTCGTGGCCCAGTAAAAGCCTCTTTCCTCGGGATCGGGCTCGTATGGATGGTCAAAATAAAGGTGGGTTGCGTGCCCGAGCACAACCTAAAAATATCAAATATATAAGGGCATGCTACATGTATCTATGAAAAGTCAAACTGAACAACATATATAAATCCGAAAATTGTGTGTTTTTGTTGAATCCAGGTTGATAAATTTGTGATATTATAGAATTACTTATTTTTGGGCAATTATTTATGCATTTTTTAGTAGATAGCTGTAAGTTGTTTTAATTCCACGGTGTTAAAATTTCACGATTTCTCAAAAGAAAAATCGAGTTTGTTTTAATGTCACGCTGCGAAAAATTAATTCAAAGATCGTTAATAAGTATGAAGGCGTTTTAAAAACTAATGTGAGCTTTCACGATTAGTTTAATTTCGCGGAAAACTGATAGATCGCGATCATAGTGAAATTAAGACCATCAGGAATATGGTAAACCTAGTATTTTGATAAGATATACATGTACATGCCCATTGTATAAATACCTTATATCCAGCATTAGCCAGTTTATAAGCTTTATCCCCCTGTCCCCACTCCCAGACGTTCTCCCAATTATAAGCTGTTATATCTCTGAAATAAGAATAGAACAAAACAGTTCAGTAAACCAAATCTTCCCTTGTTATACTTTCTTATTTTAAATGATACGTAGCTGTATCTCTTGAAAAAACTGAAATGGAGTAAAAATAAATTTCAATGAGATGACAAATATAAAAATTTTCTGATAAACCCCTGTACTTGTAAAACAATTAAAATATCTAAACATAGGAAAAATGGTCAAGCTGAATAAAAATCGAATCTTTGATCCGCTCACAAAGATCGCTACACAGGGACCACATCCTTGTGTAGCGATCTATATGAGCGGATCAAAGAATTTGATCTAAATAAGACTGGAAAAAAGGTTAATTTTACATCAAGTTCGATGGCAAATCAACATTGGTTTAAGAAACTCTTGAATCCTCAGCACTTGAAGCGTTGTATCTGAGGTCTCACCTTTTACTTGGGAATTCGGATAAATCATATGGTTTGAGCCCCTCCTTCAAACCATCTCCCCAGGCCGCCACGTTAAGGCCCTCTCGGTCAGTTAGCTCATCCAGGAGATGAGCAAAATATTTCTTTAGTTCCCCTAGGTCCTTAAATCCTGAATCATTCATAAATCTCCGACATTCTGGCGAATCTTTCCAGGCCCCGGCTAGTTCGTCACCTACGGCAATATTACAAATCATACACTTGTAGTATCGATTAATGAAGAAATGCAGACTAGATACAGTAAAACGTCGTTATTTCGATCCCGACTGGAGAGAGAGAAAAAAAAACTTCGAAATATTTAATGTATTCAGGGTACACTACTAAGGAAAAAATCGATTCGGACTTCCAAATGACGTCATATATGGCATTCAAGAGATCAGTGTTCAAATACCATAGTTTAATTGTATATTTCCTCTTAGTCGCATATTATGTTGAAATTAATGACTGCATAAAAGAGCAGTGTTCAATCAAATTACCACGCAGGTAGGTTAAGGTTACAACCAAATATTCTACTTGCCTATATGTTATGACGTCATAGTAAGCTATATGACGTGATGTTTAGAGATAATAATTTCTTAAAATTGATATCTAAGATTGATTTGAGGTCGTATAAATGAATCAAAATATGCAGAGGCATAATATAAACGGAATTTTGTCGTTCCTGGGCCTCTTTAGTTATCACAGGGGTTACATACCAAATCCGTGACGTCATAACTGTTGATCATGCAGTAGCAGAGTGAAAGTGAAATGTAACGAGAATTGATGTAAACAAACACAAGAAATCGGAGTTTAAAAGCATTTAGAATGAATATCCTGTGTGATTCTTGTGGGAATAAAGCTTATGAATAAGGTATGGTAAAATAATTTTGCAATTTCTTCATAAAATTATAGCAGGGAGGGTGTTTACTTGCCGATCAGCCTTTCCTCTGTCGTTCGTAACAAAAAAAAAATGCAAAAGTTCACCACTACGCGGCACACCTTGAAACTTAATTTTTGTTTCCATCTAAAGTTCTTATTCTTTTGCTTTTGGAAAGTACTGCTAGAATCGTATGGTTTACGGGAATTGATGCTTTTTTTCAAGGTTATGAACAAAATGTAAAATTTTGGGAAGGTTTCGTCAGAAATTGTTGAATAATTATTTCTATAATAGTACAGTACGATTCTAGCAGCACTTTTCATGGTACAGAGATGTTTTTACATAACTATTATTACAAATTGAAACTAATTATCCCCGGGGTAGTGTTAAACTTTTCACTTTTTCATTAAGGCATATTTTCTAATTATAGACGTCACGTGGTGACGTCGTGGTGTAGTGCCTCCTGTAGTATATGTCTCATTGAAGTCTATAGAATGCATAATTATAGCAAAAGTTTTATCCTTGACTTTTCCGATTTATTAGTGTTACATAATTATAAAAAAGTGTTAATTCGCCAAATTCTGATCTATGTGCTGCTTTAACATACCCGCGCATTGACTATGGGCAACACCCAAAATATTTTGTTTCTTTACCTTAAACTTATATCGTTTGGTTTGTTAAAATTATGAAGGATTAATTTCAAATAAAACATGTACTACAAGATTTCTTCCAGATGTCCAGTGTCTAAATATGTGTCTTGTTCGTATGAGGAATATATTTATGAATAAATATTACCTCCAAAATGATACATCTTCAACGGTTGAATGTCTTGGTGTAAAGTTTTTAATGCTCGAATAATGTAAGTAATGAATGCAGTCGTTGAATTCATGCAAAGGTTAATGGCATTATCTGTGAACATCTGCACGGAGAGGTATTGAGATGTGTCAGCGAAATCCGTCATAAGGTATTCCTTTGCTGCAGTCTCGTTTCCAAATTTCATGTACTTCCGGAACCGTGCCTCCATCGCTTTGACTCCCGCACGACAGTGTCCTGGCATATCGATTTCCGGAATGACTTCAATATGGCGGTCGTTGGCAAAACGTAATATTTCTTTGTAGTCATCCACAGTGTAAAATCCAGAACCGAGTCCGTCTTTTGCTGACCCGGATCCTAACTGAGGAAGTATGCATTCGTCTTCTGACAAATCATGACATCTTTTGGAACCTATCTGTAATCAATTTCATTGAATTAAATACTCACAGTCAAACATCTGCATTCCGAACTCAGATATTCAAAATTCCCTTTAAAAACAGACTAAGCCATAACCCTTACTGGATATTATTAGATACACAGTCAGTTAGTGACCTAATACGGATTCATACAGGGTATGAAATGGAAATCCGTATTGGGCGAGGCGAATCCGAGTCCCAATACGGATTTCCATTTCACACCCTGTATGAATCCGTATTAGGTCACTAACTGACTGTGTAACGAATTTATCCCGCTGAAGACCTTTTTCAATATAAAAAAAAATATCTGTGCATATATTATGAAAATATTAGTTTTAATCCAATAGCAATCAACATAAAATATCGTTACGGTAACAAGAAATTTAACTAAACTACCTACGTTAACCGTTAACAACGCTTCGAACGGAATCGCGTGCCCGATTTTCATATTACGCCTCGACGGAGACGTAATATGGAAACGGAGACGTAATACGGAAAATTTCAGGTCGTCATGTGATTAGCTTTTATCCAATCAGTAATCGACAAATTTGTCTGAAGCGGGATAAAAGTAAATACGGGTGTCCAAAAATTCAAGAAAATGCTCTTCACTTTACATTGTCATAATAAAAAGAACTAAATTGACTTTGGGCATCTTCGAACAGACAGTGTTAAACCAGGTCTTTTTGTTCTGTACTGTATACGTGTATGTGTTGGTTCAAAGTCATAAAAACCCTTTTTCGTGTAAATGTAAATACAACCCGCAAACGTTTGCGGATTAAGAAGCTCATCCTTATGTTGCAAGTTCGAATCCCTATGTCGGAGTCCTTCAGACGAGACACTATAAACCGAAGTCCCGTGTCGAAAAAATTCCTCACCGCTCAATGGTCGTAGGTGCCGAGTATAAGACAAAATTTGCAGCTCTGAAGTACCAAGTGGTGGCGTCTCCGTGTGAGTGAAAAATTCTCGGGAGGGACGTTGAAACAACATAACAAAATGCCAAACCACATAAAAAAAAACTAGACATTGAATTAAAAAAAAAATACCTCAGTAAGTTCAGGGAGACCAGGGATCTCAAGTCTCCACCCTTCGTCCTCAGTCAAATGAAAGTGAAACTTGTTTAACTTATAAATAGCCATGGCGTCAAGGATTTTTAGGATCTCCTGTTTTGAATGAAAATTTCGTCCCACATCGACATGCATTCCTCTGTATTGAAAACGAGGCTGATCATTGATGACGCAGACCGGAAGTATAGTTCCTCCATTAGCTAAGCTTCGCAGTGATTGGTAGGCATAGAATAGCCCTGTTGTAGTTCTTACGGAAATAGTGATAACTGAATCGTCTATAATTATCCAATATGCTTCATCATGTGTTTCATTGTTGTCGAGCAAATTTAAATTGTCTACTGTTTCTACTTCTATGTACTTAGACGAGGGTTTCGTATTTTCAATTCTGATATTCAAGAGATCTGAAAAAGAAAACATGGGATGAAGTAATTGATGCGTTGATATATGTGAGCATCTAGGATTTATTTTCATTTTAAAGAAAAGAAAAATAATTCAAAAGGCAACATTGAATTATCTGATAAATTGTAGTTCTATATACTTATAATAAGATCTAATTTCGTAGATAGTAAATGGTTCAAAGCTTCCATATTTATATTTTTATTGGAAATAATTCATGTTGAAGTAAAGTTTAAACAACTTACGAGAAATTAACTTGATTTCTTTACTATACTTTGTAGAATTAAGTATAACCCATGATGAATCAACGTTCACTGAACTATCTTCTAGAATAATATTTGCTGGAGTTGGTATAATATGTTTCGCAGGCATTCCAGAGACTGTCATAGCTTCATTCATGTCGTATCTCTCTTCTGGCGTGTATGGATGATAGGTATCCTCTGGATATCGACGATACTGCGCAGGTCTATCAAAAGGTCCAACATAGGTCAAAGCCTCGTTTTGAGTTGCCTTAATATCCTTTCCCTGCATGCCCTCAGCGGTGACGTACCAGTTCGGCATACAATCCGTTCTGGCTGATTGCCAATACTTGGCGATGATTGTACACGCTAAGCTGTTTTTGGATTTCAATGAAAACTGGCGCCCGACTGGAGTGAGTTTAAATAAACTACCCCCGACATGATAAAGTCTCATATTACAATCCTCCAGTAAGTAGCCATGTTGGTAAGGAAAATCATTTGGTTGTATGAGACGTATTGAAAAGAAGTATATTTCCCAGTTTCCCAGGGAAAGATCCCGAGTTCCCATGTTCTTCATTGTTATTTTGGCGGTAAAATTTTGCCAGTCATTGACAAGATTACTGATGACGTCATATCGAATATCCAAGTTACCAGCAATGTAGTCTACGAGATGTTGGTCAGATATTGGAAGAGGTTCCACTACAAAAACGTAGGTTACATTTTTAGTAAATGTTTTGGGAGGGGTTCCCTTCTGTCACTGAATTTGGTTTGATATTAATGAATTTTTCAATATTGACTGATAATTTCGAGATAAATTTAAGGACAGATGATACAAAAAAATTTTTTCTTTGGAAGATACTTTATATCATGTCACAAGTTTAGAAAAGTGGATAATTCTTTGAATTTTTTCTCCAAAGAACCGAAAAAATGAAATAGACATGGAAAATATTAGTCATATTTCAATGAAAAAATAAATATAGACTAATCAAACTCAATAAAAGTTTACAGATGAAAATCAATTTTAGAATATGTTAATTTGGTGCTAAAAAGTGTAATAATTTTTAAAAAATGAGGAAAAACAAAATGACAAAAAATCAGCAATATCATATAAGCTAATTTTTTACAATTTTGCTTGTTCTTATAAAATTCACCTTGCTTGGTATACTTTTCTATAGCTTGGTATACTAAAGTTTATATTACACCTTTAGCACATATTTACAAACTGTAACATATTCTAAATTTTTTTTTCATCTGTAAACCTTTACTGAGTGTGTTTTCTCAGTATTTGTAATTTTATTGAAATATTACTAATATTTTCCAAGTCTATTTCATTTTCCAGTTCTTTTGAGAAAAATTCTAGGAAATATCCACTTTTCTAAACTTGTGGCATGATACTAAGTCTCCTCCAAAGAAAAAAATTGTTTGTATCATCTGTCCTTAAAAATAAACGATTCCTACCTGGATAGAAAGTGACTTCCCTGCTAAACCTTGTTTTATCCTTTGTACTAAACGATGTTGAAAAAGTATAAAATTTGTTATCGGTATTGGATTTTGATAACACAAAATCACTTTAGAAAATTATAGTTAGAACATGTTGTGCAAAGTCAAATTATAAAAAATCGTTAAATGATAGAAATCAAAAAAGAACTTACGAATATAGAGCATATATATAAGAATACATTTTCAAATGAATTGAAAATAGACTCTCAAAATGTAGATTTATAAGGATGTCTCTGAGCCAATCACTGTACTGTAAATTCCTTATTTTTCACGAGTACTTACTATATCGTACTAGCCCCTTAACGTCAAATAGCGTGAATTTTATTTCGCTAATGAAAGGTTGGTCGACAGAATTTACATAGATTTCAACACCATAAAAATAAAAGCGAATAATATTATTTAGCAAGAGATGCTTCTCGCAAAATAACGCGGAAATTAATTCCTCGCGTATAATTAGCTAGGAATCTACAGTACCTTGTTCTCATTAAAAGGGGGCTATTGTCCTTAATAAACCATTCAGTCGGGACGTCAGTCCAGGAAGTACCATTATCTTTGCTATACTGCACCACGTGACCTGGGAACTCTGTACTCACTTTGAGAAATCCCTTTTCTACTCTATGAAAAACAAAAAAAAATAATTTTAGAAGAAATCCTTCTTATAATTTCTAAGAGGTGACAGTGAAGATCATTTTAGACATCTTAACATAGGTTTCTCTTATCATTTAATTATAGATCTATAACTTGGCAATATTAACTTTCATTAAGCATAAACTGACATGAAAGAAAATTGATATTGATAATGCAGTAATACATTAAGTAAGTCTTTCTCTTGCAACACCTTAGAAACCGTAAAAAAAACCTTTCTTAATTTAATGTGCAATAATACTGATAAGAACAGTTAAAAGTTTAAGAAATTTTGAACAAAAACTTCATTTGAACGTTTGATTGACTCAAGTGAGCTGAAAACTATAAAAATATGACGCCATTACATGGCACCAGGCGGCGCTATTCTATAACGGATGCCGAGCTTCTCAAGTCTGTCTAATTCCCTGTGACCAATTGTGTTTGCAAATTCCTCCCAATCCTCTGCTGCTACAATATCTTTTTCTGGGTTATCTAAATCTTCCCATGATGCTTTGTGCCAAGCACGCTCAGCCAATGAGAGAAGTCTAGGAAATATCATGTAGTTGAAAACTTCCGGAGTCATGAATGTTTCACCCCAAGACTGGCCCTGTAGACCTTTGAAAATTTTACGTGTTTAATGGTTAAACCAATGTGACAAAAATTGTGAATGATTGTCTAAACTTTAGCAATAGAATGATCAAATTCATGAGAAAATAGATATCAAGCTCAGGAGTCCACGAAAAGAAAACAATATGGAGCAAATTAATATAGACCTCTAATCTTAGATTTTTTAAACCAAGTTTAGGTAGAATTTGCTGGGTTCTTTTTAATGGATATACATATAACTGCTTTAATCACATGTACGAATCTGATAAGTGATCTATGATGCGAACATAAATTTAGATATTTGAAATAAACTAAAAGAACGTCCTCAAATGTGTTCTAAATAGAAGTTTTTTTCTTATATATTGATTTTTTATTTCACTATTACGTACAAAAATAATATTTTTAAATGGTCTATATGTATTACTTGATCAAATTTACCTATTATATTTTCTTTATGCTGTAACGGGGGACAATCTTTGTTATTCTCTCCGCACACTTCTGCCTTAGTTATAGTCTCTCCAGAACGTTTAATTTGAATATTGTCGTAAAGTCTATCCGGCAGGAAGTGAAAAGTCTTCATGGCGTCGGTGTAGCGCGTGGCCCAGTAAAGACCGCTCTCTTCCGGATCCGGTTCTTGTGGTTGATCAAAAAAGAAATGAGTTGCATGGGACATCACAACCTTAGGATAAAAAATAATACATAAAGGTGTTTGACTTTTAAGATTATTTTCAGATATCAAAGTTTTTTTTATATCATTTGGATTTCTTAAAATTCAAACTGATATACTTGTCATACAATAAAGGTTGTCTAATCCGCCACCACTGGTTTCAAATATATTAGTCGGATCAGACAAAATTCCGGATTGGATACTTTTTAAACAAATAAAGTACTGTAAGGAAGTTATTAAAGTATAAAGCAAGATTTTGGAATTCACACTATCCGGTTAAAACAATTATCAATGTAAAGCTATCCTCGTAAAAACAAATCTGTGTGCCAAACTTAATTATGCTATTGGGCGTTTAATGTACATGTATATTCTACTAATTTCCAGTAAAAAGGTAACTTTTACCTATTGCACATTTATGACATCATAAAATGTAACAAAATATACAAACCTTATACCCATTATTAGCTAGGACGTATGCTCTTTTTCCTATTCCCCATTCCCAAATATTCTGCCAGCCATTTGCGTATACTTCGGAATTAGGTATTGATTTTCTATTAATAGGAGCACCATTATCTCCCATGAGTCCGTCTTCCCAACCAGCCAGATCAAGTCCTAAGCTATTTGTTATATTGGCAACCCGCTTCACAAAATATTCCTTAAGATGATGAGGTTCCTCATAATACGAATTTTGATTGGCCATTTCTTGGCATGCGCTCGAATTAACATTGGAATCTTTTGCCGTTTCATCTCCACCAAAGTGGAAAAACTTTAATGGTTGCAATTGGTACCCTATATACATCTTTTGAATTTCCGATACGACTTTCTCTACGAAGGTGTAGGTTGACTCTATACAGGGATTTATTGCATTGTCGTTAAACATTTGGACGGATTCATATTTACTCGTATCGTTTGGATCGATAAGTCGATATTGGTTCGCGAGCTCTGGGTTTGTTTTCTCATATTTTTTATATCTTGCCTCCATAGCTTTGATTCCGGCATGGAAATGCCCTGGCATATCTATTTCCGGAATGACATCGATGTGACGTTTGGTGGCCTCCCTTAGAATGTCTTGAAATTCGGAAACATTGAAATATCCGGAACCGGAAGTGGTGTCATCACCACCGGAACCAAGCTGAGGAATTATACATTTCGTCTCCTCCAGATCATGACAACGTTTTCCTCCAACCTTCATCAGAAAAAAGAAAACATTCAAGTTATCGTTATCATTTAAATAGTAGGTTTCATTTTATACTGTTAGGATACTTGATTTAATAAATATCATTTTATTATTCATGAATTATTAAACATAATGTGTTTTTACTGGTAAAAAGTTCAAATGGAAGATTTATAGTTATATCTTATTTCGGGGTTCTTATTATAGATCCATGACTTATACACATTTTATATTTTACGTATTTTCAGACAAGGCCACACCAATAAAAATTTTTGTTCGTCGGACCCGCGCGCTCGTATTTAAACAAAACTATATAAATAAAATTAATTAAAAATCCCCGCACCATGGAATTCTGTGCTGTTTTCTGTTTAATTTCCGCTCTATTTATGGTACTTTTAATCTACTTACTCTGCCAATTAAAATAAAATATAATTCTCCGCTTAATTTTTTTCACGCCCCGTCTAAAACTTTTGCCTACAATAAAGAAATAATATTATTATTTAATCGCTAGCGCGCTCGTACTTTTTTCATCAAATGTCCAACGAACAAGAAATTGAATTGGTGTGGCACAAAAAAAAAAGAATTCAATCAAAGAGGGAAATTGTGTCTAAAATTTTGTAATACATATTTGAAACAAATTGAGTGCAGTTAGACTTTATAATAAAAACCAATTCAGCCAAAGGAAAAAAAAACGAAGAAATAAAGAAACTCTTATCCCTGCATTTCTTATTGGTATCCAAAATTAACAAAAGAATACGAATAGTCACCTCCGTTAATTCAGGGAGACCTGGAATTTCTATCCTCCAACCTTCATCGTCCGACAAATGTAGATGTAATTTATTCATCTTGTACATTGACATGGCATCCATTAACCGTACAATATCCTTTTTCGTCCTGAAGTTCCGTGACACATCCACGTGCATACCTCGATGTTGAAAACGAGGCTCGTCTTCAATTGATACATCCGGTATACTATTTTTGTCATGTGATCCTGCCACCAAACTAAGAATCGACTGTATCCCATAATGCACAGCTGTGGGGGTAGTTCCTACCAGTGTAACTGTCGATTTTTCTGTATCAGTCTGTAATCTATAAAAGCCCGGATTTCCACCGATGGATGAATTTTTGTAGATTCTAATTCTGTTTCGGTGTTGGTCGTTAGATGTATTGTTATCTATATTTGTGTTCAATCCTAGTTTTTCTTCAAAAAAGACGGAAAAAATATTAGAAATTTTAGCAAACATATTAATATAAATGTATATTCTTAGCAGGATTAATTATTTGTTTGTTTTTTTTAAAATAATTGAATAAACAATTTTTACATCTAGCAAAAATGCGAAAATGCATATTGTTTTTATAAATGACCTTGAAAAAATATTTAACGACAAATGCAGAATGTTTTTTTTGCAATCCGCCTGTTTGTATGTTTATTCACAAAAAAAGTTAAAGTTGTCCATAACTTTTGATGGCATGGGGCCATGGATTTCATATTTCACAGGTTTATCATCTGTGGCAAGAACTTTCCTTGTGTACCACCGACTTTGAATTGACCTTGGAGTGTGACCAACTTTAAAAAAAAAGATTCACATTTTTAAATTGGTCATGACTTTTGACTTTAAGTGCTAGGGCTATCATACTTCAGATTTCGTATATTCATTGTAACAAGACCTTACAGTGGATATTAGTTTTTTTACCCTTAAACCTTGACCTTAGAAATTGACCCAATTTTAAAAACCTTTAGCCCTGCACATAACTTTTCAACAGTTAGATCGAGGGTTTTCATAATTCACAAGTATATTCCTTCCTTTGGATACTAACAATTTTGAACTTTAGAGTTTAGACCTTGACCTTTGGGGCTTGACTTAGTTTTGAGAAACTTCAACCCTCCCCATCTGCCACACGAGGTCATTAGTGTTTCACAAAAACATATTTTTTACAATGTATACAGTATATAAATATCAAACTAAAAAGATATACACCACTTATAAAGCATAAAGCAATAGTTATCTTGTCAAATGAAATAAAACATGATAAGACCATTTTTAAAACCTAAAAATCTCTTTTCATTTTAAACATTATGAATTTTAACTTCTTGTAAGCAAATCAATCTTTCGAAATGTTAACAGTGTTTTTAATTTTTTTTTAGCACTTTCGTACAACTAAGCATCTCTCTAATACTTACTTTTAATGACTAGTATGTATGACCAACTGACAATGATGTACATAAACATATTTCAATGTCTTACCTTTTAAAAGTATGCAACTTTCTGAAACAGCCTGTGTGCATACTGCCGTCATTTCACTCACACGCAAAGACTTCTGGGATAGAACTTCAATATATTTAGGAGTAGGAATAATCAGTTTTGCATGAGTATTAAAATTACGAACTTTCTGCCTTCTATAACGATCCTGTGGTGTGAAAGGGTTAAACTGATCAACTCGATATCGTTTCCACTGACCGATAGTTTCGTAATTTGTCACAAATTTCTTCCCTGTAGCAGTTGATTTGATGTTGGCGGGTTTCAGGTTTGGCCCGGCCACGTACCAATTTGGGGGAACATCCGTTCTGGACACTGTCCACCACTGCCCGAAAAACTCAATAAAATGAGATCCATTTGGAGAAATATTGGGAAAATCTGGCATCGGGGTCATGCTAAACAAACAACCTTTTATTTGTTTAAATTTCACTTTATAGTTAGAGGATATGTATCCTTCCGCAGAAGGGAGGTGATCAGGTTCAATCCTAAAGAAACTGTAAAAGTAAATGGACCAATTGTCTGGTCTGATTACCTCACTTCCGGTATTAGTGAGAGTGAGGCTGAATCTATGTTTTGTTCCGTCATATTTTGTGTTATCGTGAACTGAGATTTCTACACCGAGATTTGCACCAATGTAGTCTACGTCAGTCTGTTGTAAGGCAGATGTGTATGCTACAAATATATTGTAAGGATATGAAAAAATTAAAATCATTAGAAATACGTGTAATGAATCAATGTTTGCAAAAAAAAAAATATGTTTATGAAAAGAAATTAAACAAATTACATATAAGGAAAACTGTAAATTAATCTCTTATATATGCATGATTTTCTTACAATACTTTTTTTCTCGTAATCAAACAAAGCAAGACTTTAACGGGCACAGTAATTTCAAGATACCCTTAAGGGGTTAAATGATTCAGCATTTAATATCATGAATAAAAAAAAGATTAATATGTCTACTCAGTAATTTGTTAATATAAAGAAGAAAAAATTATGAAAAATATTTATGGAATTCACTGACTAACTTTCTTAAAACTCGATATCATTGAGATGGTGGCAATGTCAAAGGGATCCCTTTCAGCAATGAACATGAAAATGTAAGGTAGCTGAAAGGGTTTTAAACTTGACCCTTGACCTAGAAACTTCGTTTAAGAACAATTCACATCCATTCACCAGTAGCATTCTGTGACTGAAATATGAACCACATTAGACCAAGGCGAGTGAAGATATGCCCCGGACAAGGATTTTCGATATATATTCTGCAATAACCTGAACCCTAGACCTAGAAACAGGGTTCAAGGTCATTGCACACCCTCTACCAAAAGCCACTCTGTGGGTGAAGTAGCCAGATTGGGCCAAGGAGAGAGAAGATATGTTTCGGACAAGAAATCTCAGACGGACGGGCGGACAAGCTGATCATTCTAGGGCGCCTGCAGAACGGGACCCTAGTACAGGTGAATTTTTTATATTAATCAATGTGTATTGTAATTTTAACAGGTATTTGACATCAGTATATTTATATGACATAGGTTTCATACACAGTTAGGCTTGGTTTCATTATATGCGAAAGTCTCTCATGAGGAAAGAAAACCTCAAAATTTTGTTGTTCTATAAACAAGCTTTTAGTCCTATCCCAAGTTGTAAACATCCTGCAATTTTTTACGTGCATGGCAACAAGTGCATTTTTTATTACAGAAGCTACCACGCGTAGATATGCATTCAAGGTAATACCCGTGTTTTCATGTCTGGTAAAGTTCACCGGGTTAAGGTAAACTTTATACACGACTACAGATTACAATAGATATTAAGTGGAGAATAAATATAGCTACAGCCAGGAAGGCAAACAGTATAAAGGTGGTCCTTAATCTACAAGGTGTTTTTTTATGTCATTAAGGCAAATCTCTCAAACATGAAATACTGTACCGCTTTTTTTTACGAAAATATTAAGAAGGTGGATAAATTAATCTGTGAAAATGTCTTTTTAGTGAAAATTGCAAATTAATATTTTATGTTAAACATTCATTTCAAAGTACAAAGATGTATTTATCACGTACACATTTTAGAACTAGGAGGTATTTTAATTAATTTATTTATATTTTAAATGGTAAATGATTTCAATTGCTCAACCATTTTTTTTTAAATCAGAAAATGACAAGCTCCACAAATATATCACATTTCCCGGTAAAGTTATATAATTTCCAAAGGAGAAAAGCGGGAAGTATTTGCATTATAAGGTACATAAATCAAGATAAGGGACGACTGATCCCCTCGTAAATTGATTAAATGATCGAAACTCCCTTTGTAATATACAAAATACAAATAATACTGAACATGGATCATTCATTCAAAATCATAGAAATCATTATATCTTTGTTCTTTTCTCTACAGAAAATGACCAGTTTCTTTAAATAGGTCGAGACTGATTTACGAAAACATTATTTGAACCCGTTTGACCTTTTCCGAGTACGTGTATCAATGAACGCATCTGTTGGTCATTTGATAGGAACTTTATGGCACCTGTATTTAAGAGAATTAAAATTGAATGAGCAAAGAAAGATAAACTACTACGTGAGAAAATCTTTAATTTGAATTTATACACATTAAATTTATGTAAGAGTGTTTGGGGGGTTTTTTATGACAAGGAGAAAAAATGGTTCCTAGGCTAATGGAAATCATCCACATAATAACAGTATTACAGTATTAATATTCGGAGCGGTTTTAATTATTATCATACGAAGAGCATGCCATTTTTGATTAATGATGATGCTTTTTCTTTGCATATATATTTAGATTCAATGTATACGCTAACAATACATACATGTATTCTCTTCCTCCAGGCAAATCCACGAACAAGTTTTATAATTGATAAAATTCGTTTAAAGGTGGGAAATTAAATGCATCCTTGAAAAAGTAGTAAATATGTATGTATCTATTCGACCACCGGTGTTCTAGCTATCTGCATAATTTAACCTGTCAACTAAAAATGTAGGAACTTAAAAGTGCATTAATTATTTCACAGAACACGCAGACGCGGTAAAGAAAGAAAAAACTTACCTGTAAAAGCTACAAGGAATAAAACAACTAGATCCATGTTTAACTTCTCGTCCCCGCGATCTTTAATAAATATCTGACTTTTTTATACAGTCGACCTATTTCAAATATGTCTCGTTACCTTTCAATCGCAGCCTGGAAACGACCCACTCTCGTGGCATTTACTTTTGTTTGATGAAAGCCCTGAAGGAATTCCGAATGTTGTCAACATTGTGAAGACAATGTCACATTTATATTTATTTCTCCTCTTAACATGTTATTGTTTTCTTTAATGAATAATTTGTTTGTCTATTTTGAGTTTATTTATTTATTTATTTGTTGTACATTTTCTTCGATATCACATATCCTAATTAACAGTTTTTCTTCTTTTTTTTTTAAATGTGAAATATAATATTTCCAAAATAAAAAAATCAAAATGGAAATCGGTAAACGCATGTAAAGGTGAATTTAAAGTAGGTGAGGTTTTTTTTTTCGACATCAGAAAGGAAGGTATTCAAAATAAGATTTTGTTTCAAAATATGTGCTTTATAATATTAAAAAAAAGAAAATCAGAAAGATCCGATCACAACAGCCCGTAAAGGTGAACTTAAAGGTGAACTCTAAGTAGGTAACGTAGGCCTTTTACTTTCAAAGCCTCTGCGGATCTAAACAGCTAAAGGCAATTCTATCAGAATGCTTGTTCACTTGTAAAGCAGTAAAATTTCGTCGAGATAATTATCTTTTTTTTTTGATAGAGATGTATAAAATTCTTATTTGCTAAAAGTAAATTAAAAGTCGTTTTTACAGAATGCTGTACGTATAGTCGGGTATTTTATTTAAGAATATTTTACATATCCATACATTAATCTCATTTAGAATAAACATTAAAAGATACTTTATGTTTCACATTATACATTTGAGTTAAAAATAAACTTTGAACAAGGTATGAACACTTTATAAATTTATTTAAGCTTCGTTATCCATAGAAACATAATCATGTACAGCCATGGTCTACCCCAGTCAAATTAAAAAAAAATACAACCCCAGGAATCTCTTGACAAGCAAAATAAAGTCAACTCATTTCCAAACTTTAAAAAAAAGAGCATTTTTGGTGGTTTGGAGGGAGGATTAGTCGTAAACTTTTAATGCTTTTTCAAGGTTTATCGGACCGCCCATGCCCCCCCCCCTCCCCTCCCCATCTAGATCCGCGCATGGCAGACGTCCATACATGTACATGTAACGTACGTGTAGAACATACACTTGCCTAAGAGCCATTTAGTTTGACTTAGTACACGAAGGAAGATACGTTTGTTAACTGGGATATGATTTATTTTCAAATTCAAATGTCAATTCTAAGTACCTGGATAGATATTTATATAATAGTACACGTACTTTTCAGAATGTCAACGAAGAATTTATTATCCGAACATGAAAGTTAATCACAATGGGAAGTTTACTTTGATTAAATATATTGTATGTTAACCTTTTTTTGATCGATAAAGCTTGTTTGTTTTTATTATCTTAGTACCCTAAATTCTAATAAGCATTGCGTATTATTTAAAAGCCTCGTATAGCAGGAAGTAAATTGTCAGCCCACCAACAATTTTTGAGTCTATATGATCATGTTGCTTATGAAAAATGTCATGAATGGATAATTAATATAACGTTCTCTTTACCCCCGCTTCAAAATATTTTAACATAAAAGTCACCAAATACTGTTATGGTCTTCAACTTAAGATCCAAAGACATTCGGTGTCACTTAGCAGCGAGTGTTTTCTACCATATCGCCGCCAGGGACATTGGCTTTTTTTTTTTTGGAGACTCATCAAAAAGACCCGGCCCTTCACTTATCGTACTGGAGGCCCATTGGTCCTGCTTAAGTACTTGACTCTAGAAATCTAAGCTCATGTGCCATGATTTCAATAATTTGTTAAGAAACTATGTAGATCAGTTTTCATTTATACAGGTTTCCATTGAAAAAAAATACTGCAACTGCAACGCGAGTTGTCACTCATTGCACAATCTTGCTACGCTTATAATACTGATTCTTTCATAGCATACATATACATCTATTCCTCATCTTCCTCATGCATTTGTCGTATAAAAAATGATTTTACACTTAATAAATGATATGATTTAATTGTTTTTTGTTGTTGTTGTTTTTTTGTTTTTTTTTGTATTTCTTGGCATTTGTCTTTGAACAAACTCATACTTCCTGCTATATCCTATTTAGTACAAGATGCATATTAGACATGTTAGATGCAAACCCTTTATCACTATTAACAATTTTTAGGTCTTCTAGAGCAAAACACATCATAATCATTTTCATTTAACATGTAAACAGTTAAATGGACCAGTTGTCCACTCTGAATTCCTTGGATGGCTTGTACCTCGCACATAACCTCGGACGTCAAAGGTGTTCTACCAGCTTGCTGATTCAGCCATGTGATCTTATTTAAATTTGTTTCAAATGCCATACATTTGAAATCCGAGGTACTTCCGAGTTACTTTGTGAAACACCCACGTTTTTGTTCTTGCTTTCAAAGCCTACATAAGATTGTAATCAAATCCTATTTACATTGAAGAATTGGACAAGTTAAGAAACCTTTAAGAACTTTATGCAGAGAGAAATATGAATTGAGTGACAAGGCAGTTTCCGGAGGAGAAATGTAACGATCTGATGTGTATTCCTCCGTCAATCACATCTGAGGTTTCAAAGGAGCGTAGGGAAGTCAGCCGAGGATTAAGGATTGCCAATTGTCTGGTCTGATTACGTCACTTCAAGTGTTTGGGAGAGTGAGGCTGAATCACTATTTTGTTCCGTCAATAGGCTTAGCATATTCCCGAAACAAGTTTATCTTTTAAAGAGAGATAGGTGAGTTAGCGCCGTAGCAATTCTTAAACACAGAAAGGAAGGTTTGTGATCAACTAGTTTATTTCTTTAATGTTTAATGAGTCTGGTGTCAGATAGAGTTCAAATTTTTTGTGAAGTGCATTTTATATAATTCAAATTATATTACTGTGGACCTGCATTGTACCAATCGCTTATTGTTTCTTGCCAACAAACTTTGAAAAGAAAAAAAAAATTATGAGGTTGAGGACTTTATCCAGGAGGGGGGTATAACTCGCAAGCTAGATGTCTACAATCTTGGCATTATATAACCCACGTTTTTGTGTAGTTTACTTTAAGGTGGAAGTTACACAATAAAAAAAAAACAAACTTCAGAATCAGAAACAGACATATGGATTAACGTAGTTGAGCGCTAGCAATAAGGCCAAAGTATACGTAGGTCTTAGTCTCTCCGACATGAGTTTTAAATCAAGTAGGTAAAATTTTCTTTTATCTTTTTCCAAATATTTTTTCCCTTTTCTTTAATCTCAATTCAATCACAATTAAGCTTACACATGTTATTTTCTAATTTAAATAGTTTAAATGAACGTTCCATTGTAACTATTAAGTACAACTGACAGGAGCTTGTATTTCTTAGGTTGCTATGGTTTTTTCAAGTCCTTCACATTTACCGGTTTTTATATTTTTATTTTATTTTAACATTTAATAGTGGATGTTATGCCCATGCATTTGATACAACATTTGGAATTTCCGAGGGTCTGCGTTGTGTGTCCTATTCCGAATTTGTATTAGAGTTACTGTATTTGTATATTTTAGAGTTACTGTATTTGTATATTTTATAAGATCGATCAACATGCACTATCTTGACCTTATTTGTTCATTTATTTTTCAAAAGACATAATTCTTTTTTTATCGATTCAATAACTCAAATATTACTTTGAAATAACAGCATGAAAGGATGGAAATACAAATAGAATTTCATTTAAAACAAATCTTTGCTTTCAAATCGATAAATATTAAGAATAACAAATTCACGAAATTAATGAAAAAACTGTTTCTGAAATATTTGTATAACATATTTTTATTACATTTTTCAATGACAAGTACAACAATGTTTAGTAAATACATGTAGTACATATGAAAAGGAGAAAAACAAACATGACCCACATTATTATATATCAAGAAGACCAAAAGGGATTGATGTCTTTGGAATTAGCATTACTTTTAATAGAGGGGCATTACTAATATTCACAAAGTGATAGTTGAAAAAAATGAGTAATTGGCTTGCTAAATTATAACGAGAATAAGTATTCAAAATATATCTTAATAAGATTACATGACTGTATAATTTTTATAATTTAGATTTCCGTGAAACTCCATTTATCTTTATTATCATCGCGCTTTACAATATCTGCAAAAAAACCCCTAAGTACACCTTTACGAAATATAATTTAGAATCCAATACTTCTAGTTCACATAGATACAAAAACATGCCTGAAGAATATTTTCATGCATTGTTATTTCGGACATGAATATGGAGATATGCCGGATCTCCCTGAGAAACAAATCCTTCAGCGATGTATTTCTCATCGGGAGAATAACTCGATGTCCATTTCATAGTTCCTCCGCTATAAAATGTAGTTCCAATTTCCAGCATCTTATCGTCAAATTTGCGAACAATTTCCTTTTTTCGTTCGCACCAAAGAAACCCTGCTTTATTCATTCCCCTGTAAGGATTACCATACATGATGCAAAGTTTAAAGTTATCAACATCATAAGCAACAACACCGACCGTGCCATACAAGGAATACCTTGTCTTATGGAATCCAAGACAATGGAAGGAGTTAGGTGCAATACTCGCGGGCAGGACAGAGTGAATTATCCCACGGTTGGGGGCTACACATCCATTTACCATTGCTGTATCAGACAGATTTTTAATCTTCATACACAGTGGATGACCATTCTGAAAAAAAAGGTTTTAAAGTCAGTTAAATTGTAAAAATGGAGGATTTTGCCTCTTAAGCATACATATAAAAACGGTTTGTGGCCCCTTGACTTATTTTCTAAAACAGACAATTTCGTATTGAATCTTTCACTTCCTTCAGACTCAAAGTGAACAACAGAAAGCATTATAAAATTGTTTTTCTCCTGTTTTTTTTTCTGTAAGTACAGCCTTCTTTCCGACATACAACTTGGATAGCTTATTAAAAAGTATCAAAGCATTAAATAATCACTGTAAGACGTTTTCCCAGCTCCACCAAAAGGTTTTGTTCATCTTCTGTAATGGCATCCGTCAGTATTCCTTTCTCTTTTCCTGTTGCCATTTGTTGCTTTTAACCTAGAATAAATGTTAATCTTTCATTACAAGTTAAAATATATACATCAATGTGCATTTCAGATCCGAGTTCAATTTTTATATGTTTTAAAACATAATACACCCAAAATTGTGATATTGGCATTTAAAAGGATGGCTCATAGGGATTACTATACATGTAGCATATAAGAAATATCACTCGCTGCTTTGTTATTTTTCATAATTTCCTTATTGACAAGTAAGCGATAATAGATGATACCATTTACGTACTGTGCATGGTATTGCTGCTGAATTATGAACATGTATCAAATGGGAAGATAGAATATTTTGTAAACAAAAGAAAGTCGACACGAGGGAATACAACGACTTTTCTTGAGAACAGAAATGAAGGAAAACAACATTGTTCTGTAGAATATGTTCAAGTCCATTTGAATGTGAGGGTGAATTACACCTAGAATTTGGTAATTCAAACCTTATTTGACATACATGTAAATTCTCCTTGAGTTAACAATTCTCCATATTTAGAAAACTCATTGACCTTAGTGGTCATTGCTATGTGGTGAATTTTTCAAGCATTGTTGCAAAATAGCTCTGTTTTTTAAATATGTCTATTGTTTGCTTTCAACTCAAGATAACATTTTAAATTGAAATTCCATGAACTTTTGATCAACCCTCGTATATGAGATTAACAGACCGAAAAAAGATCCTGAGAATTACCAGATAAATTTATCTGGTCATAACAAGCGTGCAGGATGACTCATTTTTTGTGTAGTATTTTTAGGTCAATTTATAATCACATTATACATACATACGGCATTACACTTGATTGAATATAATATCTACAGTTTTTCAAGTGAAATATAGATTAACAAAAGATTAGTTAAAATCTCTTTTATCATCTGCCAATTTGTATTTTTCAGTAAGAAACGTGTAGTAAACATAAGCGTCCTATCACTGAAACTGAAAGCAATGGAAATAATGATTTGTATAGGCGTCCTTAAATTAAAATTGTATTTAAAAGAAAATAAGATATTTCTTTTTTTTCTGACCTAGCTCTTTAATTTTATCTTGAGAAATGATTGAGTACTAGAAAGTGCTTGACTTTATGCCTATATCGTGATGTTTTTTCTCACATGGAGACCTCTACATATAATATAGTACATTGTGTAATAAAAAAAAATCATTGAAACAAAATCAACCCGACACAAAGCAACCCAGACAAAAAAATACTAGAGTAAACTAATTAAACTTTAACTACAGTTTCAGGAGGGATTCTTGTCTGGTTTCTTACTAAATGAAATGTTCAAAATATATTTGCTTATATGACTGACATAGTAAGATGTAAGAGCTTTAAGCTACATTGATACTCTGATAAGAGAGATAACTCGTAATGACACAAATGTCTATTTTTCCTTTATATATTTGTCAAGATTAAGTGCCTTTTTTTTTTCAATTTTGCCCCACAAGGCATGCTATAATTGTTTGTATTTTATTCAGCATATACAATTGCTTTGAAAAATCATAAAAGTTTAAGAAAAATTTCATATAAGTGAGCGGAGGGTTTATGAAACTTTAATGATCATATTTTTGTTTTCTCGTTCTGTAAGCTTTTGGGTCAAAAAGCAAGCTTTGGGTCAAAAATCCGTAAAAAGCGTTTTTCTTGTTAAAAGATCGAAACTTTTTTTTTTGTATCTTTTTGTATCTTTTTGTAAAAACTTTACCATATGTGAAAAAAAAGAAAAAAAAATGATTATAATAATAGTACCAAAAAAAAACTAATATATCCTAAAGATTGATATATTCACTGCATGTAAATTTCTAGTCAGTCTCAGGGGGGTCACACTCGTACCTTTCACTTATGTATATGTATCCTGTATTCTTTAATATAAGGTTATCCCACTTAATGATTTGTTATACATTTTACTTTATGCCATTCAATTAAATGACATAATCGACAATACTGCATGTCTGTGTTTGGTTATTTTTTTTAATTCACTATCAGGCTGATATTTCACATAGGAGGCATAAAGTGAATTATTGTTAAATATGTTTCAACTTCTTTTGTTCATTTGTTGTCAAAGAGAAGAGTTAAACATACGCCAAATTTTCACATTTCTTGGAAGTATTTTCCATTGAAAGAGGGAGAGGCCCTTCATTTGAAAAAAAAAAAAACACTAGAATCTCATCTGCCTGTAACCAAGGCTGCTTTTTGGCAAGTTTCGTAGAAATTGGTCCATTGGTTCGAATTCTAGAGAGGAAGTTGTAAATGTGAAATGTTTACAGACGGATGGTGAAAAGACAGCTGGACACATGTACAACAGACAATATGTGAACTTTCAGCTCAAGTGACCTAGAAACGTTATGTTAAAGATTTTCGTTACTGTAGTTAAATACTAATTTTTGGTAGGTTAAGCCTTATAAAGTTTAAATAATCCTAGCTTTTGAAAGAATATTCAAAGGACGTACCTTTCCCTCTCTGAATAAATTTTCTTTCCTTTCCTTTTAATGACAATTAGTTAAAACGAAATTGTGTCAAGATTGTAGAAATCTCTTCAATCAACTGCACGTCAATAATAATATTTGTAAATAGTTTATAATACTGTACGTGTTTAACAGTTGATAAGATGCCTATCATCGGTATGTTTCATATTCTTATCAAATAAATGTGTATTTAACTTTTCAATTAAATACAGTAGTTATGATAAAATTCTATACTGTTTGTTAATAATATATTAAGTGATATACAAGGTTTTTATGGAGCATTAAATTATTTTTAATTAATTTTACCTATTATTCTCGTACAGTATGATACTAATTTTATCAAAGTCGTACTTTTGATGAATTTTGATTTAACAAAATACAAGAAAAATTACATCTATGGGTAGGAAAATTAAGACTGTTAATATTATTTGAATAAACTGTCTTTGAAATGCATTTTTTACTTTATCAAAATATACTATACTAAATAGATAAACCGCAGAAATGAAATTCGATATCAGTCAATGTTTTTCACACAATACAACGAAACGAAATAGATTTCATATTTCATTAAGTCAATATTGGTCAAATATCAATATTTAGTGGTTTATCATGTCCTTGCTGATTTAACCAGTCTTATTGTTCTTACATGTACCTAGATAACAGTAATGTGAAAACCTTGTTTTCTTCCAAATGATTTAAGGTACTTTTTATTTATTTCTTCTTTTTTTTTTTTATTTATGCTTGTTCCAACCAACTAAGAGAATTTTTCACCCATATTGAGATACAACCACCTTTTGGTGGAGGACTGCAACATCTATTCTGTACTTACTAAGAGTCTTTGAGACTTGAGGGGATCTTTTTTCATGTCTGCGCCCGAATCTCGGTTTATACGGTCTCATCTGAAAGAGCGGTATCCACGTCCTACAGTGAAAATCAAACCCGCGGTTTAAAGATAAAATTAGAAGATAACAAGTAATATTTAAATCATAAGTTGATTCAGACATTCCAAAAGGAGCTCTTAACTGATCTCTTAAACATCAGAATCAAATTTAAAGGTGATCCGCAACTAGGCCATGTTTACGTTAATTATTTCAGATTCCCTATAAATCAAACAAACAATATGGATGTTATTTTGCTTGTTTAATATGGCGCTTCTGGCCGCGGTGATCAATTTGCTGGGGCTACCACAGGGCTGCCCCACAATCAACAATCAATACAACAAATGTGACGACCCAAATCGGGCGGATCATGCACTGGGTAGGTCACAAGTGCATGAACGTCACCAATGCAATAATCAATCAAATTCAATCAATCAATTATTAATCAATCAGTCAATGAATCAATTCAAATATCAATCAAGTCAATTACTTGTCAATCAATCAATTATTAATCAATCAATCAATTCAAATATCAATCAAGTAAATAAACAATGGAATGAGCGTAAGAATATGTGTTGCACTCGTCCAGTTGCGTTGAGGTGCGACGGAATACGCAAACCCTAAGAATTCCAACCACGATAAGGCTGAAATTGACGCTGTCCCCAACAGGCAGTCATCACGAGATAGGTAAAACGGAGACTTCATCACCGCGACATTGGTTGATGCGGAATCCCAAACAGGTAGTCATCACGGTATAGGTAGAATAGAGACCTCACCACCGCGACATTGGTTGATGCGAACGCTGTACCCAACAGGCAGTCTTTGAAGAATACGCAATCATACAGAATTCACTAATGCAACACAAGTTGATGAAGACGCTGGACCAAACAGGGCACCATTGAGGAAGATTGGAGCACATGACTATCACTGCGACATGGGATGTTGTGGACACAGGCCAAGCAGGAAGTCTTCAGCTACAATGACATAACAAGAACAGCAGTATTTGTTCTAAAACAGGAGGAGGGTGGGTGGGGAAAATTAAAATATTGCAACAATTCAACTTCACAAAATTTTCCATGACCTTACCGTTTTATCGATTTATCAAGAAAGGAAGAGGAGGAAACAACTAAGTATTAGACTAGTATATGTTAATGGACCTAAATTTTCCGGATTGATAGGTTGGGACTAAAGGTACATATAATTATATATCTGTAAGGGCTTAAGATATCCGGAATGGAAGGACATAGGGTTACTGAAATAAACTCACTTATCCGAGACAGGCTCGTATAAGTGGTATTATTTCAGATTCCCTATAAATCAAACAAACAATATGGATGTTATTTTGCTTGTTTAATATGGCGCTTCTGGCCGCGGTGATCAATTTGCTGGGGCTACCACAGGGCTGCCCCACAATCAACAATCAATACAACAAATGTGACGACCCAAATCGGGCGGATCATGCACTGGGTAGGTCACAAGTGCATGAACGTCACCAATGCAATAATCAATCAAATTCAATCAATCAATTATTAATCAATCAGTCAATGAATCAATTCAAATATCAATCAAGTCAATTACTTGTCAATCAATCAATTATTAATCAATCAATCAATTCAAATATCAATCAAGTCAATAAACAATGGAATGAGCGTAAGAATATGTGTTGCACTCGTCCAATTGCGTTGAGGTGCGACGGAATACGCAAACACTAGGAATTCCAACCACGACAAGGCTGAAGTGGACGGTATCCCAAACAGCCAGTCATTACGGTATAGGTTAAACAGAGACTTCATCACCGCGACATTGGTTGATGCGGAATCCCAAACAGGTAGTCATCACGGTATAGGTAGAATAGAGACCTCACCACCGCGACATTGGTTGATGCGAACGCTGTACCCAACAGGCAGTCTTTGAAGAATACGCAATCATACAGAATTCACTAATGCAACACAAGTTGATGAAGACGCTGGACCAAACAGGGCACCATTGAGGAAGATTGGAGCACATGACTATCACTGCGACATGGGATGTTGTGGACACAGGCCAAGCAGGAAGTCTTCAGCTACAATGACATAACAAGAACAGCAGTATTTGTTCTAAAACAGGAGGAGGGTGGGTGGGGAAAATTAAAATATTGCAACAATTCAACTTCACAAAATTTTCCATGACCTTACCGTTTTATCGATTTATCAAGAAAGGAAGAGGAGGAAACAACTAAGTATTAGACTAGTATATGTTAATGGACCTAAATTTTCCGGATTGATAGGTTGGGACTAAAGGTACATATAATTATATATCTGTAAGGGCTTAAGATATCCGGAATGGAAGGACATAGGGTTACTGAAATAAACTCACTTATCCGAGACAGGCTCGTATAAGTGGTATTATTTCAGATTCCCTATAAATCAAACAAACAATATGGATGTTATTTTGCTTGTTTAATATGGCGCTTCTGGCCGCGGTGATCAATTTGCTGGGGCTACCACAGGGCTGCCCCACAATCAACAATCAATACAACAAATGTGACGACCCAAATCGGGCGGATCATGCACTGGGTAGGTCACAAGTGCATGAACGTCACCAATGCAATAATCAATCAATTCAATCAATCAATTATTAATCAATCAGTCAATGAATCAATTCAAATATCAATCAAGTCAATTACTTGTCAATCAATCAATTATTAATCAATCAATCAATTCAAATATCAATCAAGTCAATAAACAATGGAATGAGCGTAAGAATATGTGTTGCACTCGTCCAATTGCGTTGAGGTGCGACGGAATACGCCACTTGCAAGGGCCATCAATACTCGTGTCTACTACGAGTAATCATGGAACTGCAACCGCCACCAATGGGGTGCCAAGAACCATGGTGACGGCGGCAGTACCTCAACGCAAATGGTCACCGTCGATCAGGGCCTGCTCATTCACCAATAACAATTTACAGAATAAGTGATTTCACAAGTTTACCAAGGAGCCAAGGACTTGTCCGTATAAAACAACTACTATTTCCTCTAACATTGTTGATACTTACCGACACTGTATTTTTCCATTGGTTACTTGTATAAATTACCTAAAAGGCTGTAACTCTTTTATGGCTTTTAAATAATTAAAACACCTCTTACCAAGTTTCCTTGCGTGACAAAGTAATATAGAACTTAGAAAAATATAACTATCTTTGCAAGTGTTGCTTATAGTTGTCTTAAAGGATTTTGTACTGAAACAAACCAAAATTGGAACAGGACAAGATACTGTCACGGTTTCACCTCTTCGCTTAAGGTACTAAGCTACTTTTAACAACTTTTAACAATAACAATGTGTCCTAATACCCCTCCCCCCCCCCAAACCGATCCTTTTGCATACCTATCTATATAAATTAAGACCCTTCTTTAGTACTTCACAATTTATGAACCAACTATCGATTAGTCATAGGGAAAAATAGAATACCAGTAAAGAGTGAAATAGGTAAACAAATGGTAGGCCTAATATTTGGACTCGAAATGGAGCAATCGGCTATTCGAATATTCTGATACCAGAAGGCTGACAAACTTACTATTGGATTAAACGGGATCCAATGTGCATTTATTAATGTTTAAATAATATGTTTTGAAAAGCAGCAATTTTCAAAATTATAATAACCTTGTCCTCCCTGTTGCATTCTGATGGGAAATGTGTAGTATTGGCTTCAGTAATTAAAGTGAGCGAGATTTAATATTTATCCTCCAAAATTGACAAATATATTTTATAAACTATCCAATACTGTCTAAACCCGACCGCAATTTCTGTTAAAAAGGGGGTTGAGCCAAACGTTCCATTCAACCTCTCATATAAAGCTTCGATCAAAGGAACCGTATATTTTAGATTTATATTGCATCTTGTCAACCGGCAATTTAAACTCAGTTAAAACAAAAACAAGAATTGTAAGAATGTTGACCGAAAAATATTGTTCGAAGAGAATAGTTTCCTCTCAGAAATGATGGTAATAGTAATTTATATCAAGTTTACTTCCTTAACGTTAAACCTTGAAAGGCATATTTGGTAATTAAGGAAAATCCTAACTTGTACGAATCTGGTTTAAATTATTTTATACATGCCTTTGTTATGTTGAGCATATGGAATTTGGTACAATGTATATCGTTATATTCATGCGAAAATTAATATTTGCCATCTGCAAGTTTGATTAACTCAAGCTAGGTCATTGTATGCTGACACCCAATTCTTAGTTGCCTTAACACTAA